GAATGTGTTGCACAACGTTGAAGAATGTCTCGACGAATTCTACGTCGTCATCCGAGTCAAAACTTTTTAAAAATTCCTTATGTATTGTGGAATCCATGTGTATGTGTTTTGTGGTTTTAGAGAATAGAATGAGGTGTAAGTTTTGATATAATAGAAGGTTTATTTATATTTAGTGAATTGAGTTTGAAAAAAAAAAGAAACGGCCAAAATAGCCGTTCAACGGCCAAAAAACCCAACAACCAATCACATTGTTCGTTTGAATCTGTCATCGGGAGCACGAAGAAGCACGACCACGCCCGACCACGGAACGTCGGGGTGGTGTGCACGATCCGTTATCGTGGCCAACTAGACCACGATTCCATTCGTGGTATGTATACCACAAGGCCTAAGAGGGATAAATTGCGTTCCTGCACCACCACCGAATCAACTCAATTTTTAAAAGTTCACAAATCAAACAAAATAGTTAGAAGGCTACAAGAGAAGAAGGAAAGGAAACAAATTTTGTAAGAGTTAAAAAGACCTAGATTTCGAATAAGAAATTTAGTATACGAACGAATGAGGAAGCGATTTGAGTATTCACAATCTCCAAAATTACCTATAAATGTAGAGCATGAAAACCTGATTGGAAACTCAATTGAACGGACTCCCAATCTTCAAAATAAAAAACTCTGGCAATGCATATGCTTATCGATTCGTTTCTAGAGAAAAAAAATAAGGATGAGCGTCGCTGGAAAAGAGAAGAGAATGATTTGGGTATATCATCATCATCAGAAAAATTGACCGGTGGTGGTATAGGTGGGAAGTATTTTCTGTAGACGCGTGTTCTCCTTGTCTTACAGGAGCAGACAAGCGGAATTCCAGTAAAAAAAAAATAAGAAAAAATGAAAAGAAGGGTTGCCAAAATACCCGGCCCAAAAACGAAAAACAAAATGAAAATACCAACAGTTAAAGAAGCCCATAATTCTTGACACCAACAGATCTGATCCGGTAGAATATGGATTTACAATACGGATTCATTCCAAGGTGACGTGTCCACTTTAGAGAAAACCAAAGGTTTTCATATATAGAAATAGAAATAGAATAGATTACATTTTATAAAGAAAATAAATTTAGGGTGGACTCTGGTTGGTTGAGTTTTGACTTTTGACCCCAATTTCACTAGGCTCCATATTAATATTCTCCCAGGAAAGTTCATCTCTATTGTAAATTTCCTTTCTATCTACTTTTTCTGTCTAGAAAACAAAATATTATATAAAACAATTTTTTTGAAATTAATATTATATTTATGTCATAGTGTCACAATCAACAAATTTTTTGGTTGTAATGGTTTGATTATTAATCGAGACTAAATTTCATTTTAGCGGTCCGTGTGTTTTTGAAGAATTCTTTCTTCTCTCAACCTTTTGTATTATCTTCACTGCCATGAAATCTCTCACACGTGTCGCTGTTTCTTCTTCTTCAACTTGCCTTTGGCTTCTCTTTGCTTCATCACTTTGCACCTTGTGTTTCTGTCATCAGAACTCAGATGAAGTAAAATGTATAGCCACCGAACGATCGGTGCTTATCCAGTTCAAGAACAACGTGGTGGACCGTGCCAACCGCCTCTCTTCTTGGTCCGGTGACGACTGTTGCAGTTGGTCCGGTGTGGTCTGCGATAACTTCACCCATCACGTCCACGAGATTCGCCTTCGTGGACTACCTGATCAGCACGGCTATTGTCTTGGATCATTATTTGACATTAATGATACAAACCAAATGTTAGGAGGAATCATAAGTCCTTCTTTGATCAAGTTAGAACAACTCCGATACCTAGACTTGAGTTGCAACGATTTTGGATTCAGTCCGATTCCATCATTCATTGGCTCTTTTCAGAATCTGAGATATCTTAACATCTCAATGTCGCAATTCTCGGGGGAAATTCCTCATCAACTCGGGAATCTATCGGAGTTGCTTGTTTTGGATCTTAAAGACGGTTATCTTCGCTCGGAGAATTTAAAATGGATAGAGAATCTGAAGCAGTTGAAGTACCTGGATATGAGTGGTATCAACCTCACCGGAGCTTCAGATCACTGGCTTCATGCGATCAACACTCTGCCTTCTTTGCAAGAACTGCACTTTGCTTCATGTGGCTTAACTCAAATTCCTAGTGAGCCGACTAGAGTTAGTTTTACTTCTCTTATGGTCTTAGATCTTTCGTATAATTTCTTCGAAGGTTTGTTGCCTGGGTGGGTTTTCAGTCTTCGTAAATTAACTATGTTGGATCTTACTCGTTGTTTTATCCGTGGTGTAAATCTCGGAAGTCAAGGTGGTTTTGACAACATGCCTTCTTTGAGGACTCTTCTTGTTTCCACCAACACTTTCGTAAATACTTCTTCCTTACTGAACGGGCTGTCTAGCTTAAGGAACCTCCGTTTTCTTGATGTTAGTGGCTGCCATATTTCTGATCCAATTCTTGGCAAACTTCAGAACATGTCTCATATTGTTCATCTTGACTTATCATACAACTATATAGTTGAGGAGATACCTAAATCTTTTAGTAGTCTTTGCAACATGACAGCCCTTGATCTTCAGTCTAACCATTTTTCCGGAGACGTGTCTGAGCTTCTTGAAAGATTTTGTGAATGTGAGTCACCTAAACTGGAATTGATAGCCTTAAGTCGCAATTATCTCACTGGTCGACTCCCAGAAAAACTAGGAAGATTGAAGAATCTGGGCAGCATTGATATTGGATACAATATGTTAACAGGGATTCTTCCACGTTCGCTAGGTAATCTATCGATGTTGAAAAATTTGGATCTTCGGTACAACAGATTGAATGGAAGTCTTCCTGAAAGTATTGGAAAACTTGGGAAACTAAGTAATCTAATACTTGATCACAATTCATTAACAGGTATTGTGACCGAAAACCATTTGGCCAATCTAACAGCTTTGTATGCTTTGTCGGTTGGGGACAATAAGTTAGCGTTTGACCTAGTCAATAACTGGATTCCGCCTTTCCAACTCTATGAGCTGCTGATAGGTTCTTGCAATGTAGGCCCGCTTTTTCCTTCATGGATTCAATCGCAAACAAACTTGTTTGGGTTGGATTTAGCAAACACAAACATATCAGACACCATCCCGAATTGGATCTGGAGTATTTTCCCTTCTATATATTTCAACATATCCCATAATAACATTACGGGAATATTGGGAGATGTTACTACTTTTCTTGGCCCAGGACCAGTATTAGATCTAAGTTCTAACAATTTCCATGGTGAGCTACCTCGTAATTTCAGTAAACTTGATTTGTATTACTTAGATCTTTCATCCAATAATCTTTCTGGGTCTCTAGATCAGTTCTTGTGTTCTGGAATTCAAGAATCGCGACAGCTAAGTGTTCTTAATCTTGCTAACAACAACATATCAGGAGGTCTCCCTGATTGTTGGATGAATTGGGAATCTTTAGTAATCTTGAGCCTAGAGAACAACAAGTTATCTGGTAAAATCCCGTCATCTTTGGGAAATGTATCTTCGTTGGAGTCACTTGATATACGAAATAACAAGTTGTGGGGTGAAATACCGCTGTCACTTCTGAATTGCAAAAGCTTGTTGATTATTAAGCTAGCAGGAAATGAACTCACGGGGAGAATACCAGCATCAACAGGAAGAAATGATTCAAGTTTGAAAATTCTGAGTCTTCGTTCCAACAAGTTAGAGGGTGAAATCCCGAATGAATTATGTGGTCTCAGTTCTATACAAATCTTGGATCTTGCTGACAACAATCTTTCTGGGTCCCTACCGAAATGCTTTACAAACCTGAGTGTCTTTTCTGGAAAAACGAAACCCACCGCGTATGATGACTATGATCGATTCAAGAATCAACAACCAGGCAGCATATCGTTGGTGACAAAGGGACGATTTTATTCATATAGCACCATTGTTTATCAAGTGACAGCATTAGACCTTTCCAATAACAACTTGTCTGGGTCGATTCCAAATGAACTCGTGTCACTACCAGGCTTACGCTACTTGAATCTGTCACATAACAGATTAACAGGAAGAATTCCCAACACTTTGGGTGAAATGGCAGAGCTTGAAACTTTAGATTTGTGTGTGAACTATCTTGATGGGGAGATTCCTTTAAGCTTGGCTGAGTTAAGTGGTCTGAATTTGTTGAATGTATCATACAACAATCTTACAGGAAGAATCCCGACAGGCAGTCAGCTTCAAACCTTCAATGAAACTAGTTTCACTGGAAATGCACTTTGTGGGGCTCCTCTTGCAGCGTGTCAGCCTGTTACCAGTGGAACTACCGACAATGATGATGAATCTGATGGCAGTACTGATTGGATCCTAGTGATATGTATGATCGTTGGATTGGCTGTTGGTTTTTGGATCACGATTGGGACGTTGATTGTCAGCAAGCAATGGAGAGATGCATATTATCATTTCCTAGACGAAATGAGGATCAAGCTCGCAAATTTCATTCTTCACGTACTTGCCAATGTAAGTTCCATGTTTCCGATGATGAGTTAAGTTCCTGCTATAGTTTCTATGTTTTGACATTCAAACAAAACTACATTTATTATCTCTCACAAATATTTTTGTATTTTTCTCAATTTTTTTTAATACAAATATAGTGAAAACATATATAGGTTTAGAAACTTGTAAAAGTGTTCTAGGAAAATTAAAGGATAATATCATTATAGCCCTACGAATTCTTCGCTTTTGTTTTAAAAGATCACTAGTGTAATCTTTTGGCACTCTAAAGGTATAAAGTCCATGTTGACATGCCAAAAATGGTATTGAACTGTTTTTTATCCGGTTTCACGGGTAAAAAAGGATGACATGGCTATAAGGATGATGTGGCTATCTTATTTTGTCTTTGAGGGTTGCGATTAAACCCTTCAATCTTCACTATCAAACTTTTTTAAATTGGAATTAGTTATTTTTAGTTATTTTGTATGTTTTAGAAACAAGTATTTGATTGATTTCAACAAGTGGGAGGTTTTTGTGAATGATGATCAGACACGTACATTTCTTTCAGTTGAAAATACAACGCGAGGTGTAGCTGAGATAACCAAACAGATTCAAGCTGTTAATGAGGTTTACAAGCTGCACAATCTTCCTGAATTTTACAAGGTTAGTTAGTGTTAGTGTTCATAGAGATTTAATAAGTTCTGTTTGATTTACATGTGATTATAACATAAAGAATGTGTTATTTGACATTACAGGATCCTCGGCCTCATATATCAATAGCATGGGGAGTAGGGGATATTAGTTAATCTGTTAAGAGAGCGGTGGAAGGAGAAATGATAAAAAAATGTTGTTAATGTTGGAGGAGTGTCCGCGAGATGTATGTTTACCTGCAAATTTAGTAGCATTGTGTATAAAGTTGGCAGTAAAACCTATAATATATGTGGATCTCAACTACAATGAACTTTGGTTTGGATTTTTATAATATTTACAAAATATTTCCTAACTCATGCAAAGTTGAAGGGGAAAGTAGAAAGTCCATTGTAGGAAATTATAGGGTTTGTGGAGGAGATCTGGATACCAACTTGGATCGTGAGAACACTTTCCAAACTGATATTTCTACCCTATGCCTGAGTTGCAAGGAATTCAGCCTAGGATAATCCAAATGGACACTTACGATTCTAGGCACAAAAATCATAAGCCAATTTGCTAGAAAGATTCTGTGAGAGTTTGAAGAAAACGAGAGCTAATTTTTGTATCGTCACTTCACAACAGGAAGAGTCGTTTATATAATAAACGAAATTAGGGTTTCATTAGGGTTGGACCGTCATTAGTTGCTTTGGAAGCAAGTCAGGGTAATCCGGATTAATGAGGATTTAGGGTTACAAAAACTAACGAGTTTCATTAGTTTTACCATAATCACCCTCACGAATCTGAAGCAAGTCAGGGTAATCCGGATTAAGTCAGTGGGACCCCAGCCAGGGGCTCTGCCCCTTGAACCCGCTAGGGGCGCTGCCCCTAGACCCCGCCAAAGAGGCGCCGCCCCTTTGGAAACCCCGGACCCAGGGGCGCTGCCCCCGGACCCCCCGACTTGACGTCGAACCGGCTTCTAATTCGATCTTATACATGTGTGCACTCCACACCAACCAGTACATATATTAGAGTACAAATTAAGAAAGCCCCTTAGCTCACATGTTAGTTCCAGTTACATAAAATGACATGGTGACACTAAAATCACCAACATCCATCAGATAGCTGCTACCAAGAAGATGAAATAAGGTTCCACCAGTCAACCAAAATTTATAAGAAAATTGTTGTAGATGACACGGTTACTTATCCAATCAATCTGATCAATCCATCTGATAAGTCTAATTGATCCATTCATCTGTCTGTCTGACATATTTTATGATTTATTCACCTCATCAATAAAATCCATTTATCCAATTGATCCATCAAATATGTCTAGTTATCTGATTCGTCTATTAGATCCATTCATCAGTCGGATTGACCTGTTCAACTTAAACATGTTGAAAATTCCAACCATCCTGCTACAATACTATTGTAGTGGTTATTAGATGAAATTAAATAGTATTGTAGTGGTTATTTGATGAAATTTAATGACACATGGTTGTCAGTTGTTACAATCATTTTTTATATATATTTCCTCACTAATAGTGATGTATTAGCCGATTAGAATATTTATATATTTAGGAGATTATTTTATTATTGTACATATCCTTTCCTATTTGTTTGTGTATGTACCTTCCTATATATAGGGGATATTTATTCAAAGGCACATATTCAATTTACCATAATCATTATTATGGTATTAGAGTCTGAATCCTAAAAAGTATCGCCACCCTGCTTCAAACCAAGCTACGACTTCATTGTTCTTCACTCTACGATCTATTCATCTGTATCAGTTGCAATCGATTTATTCATCTGCAACCCTAAAATTATTCAATGCATTCATCTGCCAAAATCGAAGTTTTCTCCATGGGCAAAGACGATTATGGATCTAATGAGGTGAAGGCCACAGTTCTGCACCATGCATACACTGTGATGAACGTTCATACAAAGATTCGAACTCTTGATGGTGTTAAGGTAACCTACTCTTCATGAACCAAGCTTTTTCGCCTTCATGCCAAAGCGTACAAGGTACTAGATCACAATGATGGAACACAAGCACCTGTTGAAACTGATCCCGGTAACAACCAGTGGGTTGAGATCGATGCTCTTGTTTTACAATAGATTTACAACACTTTATCTGATGATCTAATGGTTCGTATTCTAGAAAATGACACCATGGCTTAAGCAACATGGAACAAGCTCAAAGCAAACTTCCTCAACAACAAGGGCTCACGAGCAGCAACACTTGAACAAGAGTTTTCCAATCTTAATTTGGCAGCATGTTCATTAATGGAGGCTTATTGTCAGAAACTCAAGGACTTGGCTAATCAATTCGGAGATGTAGATAACCCGATTACCGAATCAAGACTTCTTCTACAGATGGTTCGAGGTTTACCACCCGAATTTGATGTTGTAGGGGCATATATTAATCATAGTTTGTGACATCCCAATTTTCACAACCAGAAAAGACCGATTTTGTTTATGCTTAATAAATCAGAGTATCCTTTTAAAAAGATTTACTTTGTGGAATTTGTCCCAAAAACATGATAATAATTAATGGGTTTTAGGTACAACAAATAAACTAGAAAACAATTCCTAAGTTCACATGCAACCTACTTTGGAT